CCATACTACTAGTAACAAGACGCTACTAGGGGCGCTTGGCCGTACTACTAGTAACAAGACGCTACTAGGGGCTCCTGGCCGTCCATTACGGCCTGCTGGGGTGGAGGGGGTGTTCACAGGCCATGGCGTTGAAAGCCAAGCAGCGTAGACATCTACGGCCTGATGGTGAAAGTTAGTGCGTCCCAGAATCCAAGTTGATCCCAAAGGGATCCTAAGGATTTGAAAGCATCTCTATATAGTTCCGGTGCTTTCAGTATGTAGCAGTTCTGCTTTTGCCACTGTGCTCGATTGACTGAAGGATTCAAGTGGAGCACAAGAAGTGGAACAACAACCTTCCATTGCATGGCAGAACTGTGATAGTGCTGCCATGTGCCACCGCTAGATTGTGGTAAGTTCCGGTGGGCTTACTACAATGGATACCAAGAATGACGAATCAAAAAGGCTGGCTGACTGGAGGATGTTGTTTCCAAAGTCGGCTGATTCGCTTTCGTTCTTGATGCCTGAACGAACTCAGCTGTTTCAGCCCCAACGAAGTGCAAGAGCATTAAGCACCCGAGACCACACCATGCGGTGCCACGCCCGCATATGCAGAGGACGATGCACCTCTTCTAGGTTCATCCCACTGAATCCTGACTTAACACGGGCAGTTGTGTGCTTACACGCGCGCTTGAAACTAGACTCCAGGTGCACTCAACAGATTTCACTGCTCATCTCAGAGGCACCACTGCATTTAATAAAGGGGTTTGCTCTGTTTGAGCAGAGCCCCCTCGGCAGTAAACGTGTTAGACGACGGTTTGACCAACAGCAAATGAGCCAAATGGATTTCCAGCAAACAGCAGGTGCAAACATCACAAGGGGAATTCACAGTTTAGAGCCGGTCTATGCTGGCAAAACTGATCCTCACACAGGTGTGGTGCGGAAATCGGTTGGAGTTCCCAAAACGCTCGCCCAACATTTTCTCAGTCGACTTCGTTCACCCAGGCACTGATTCCTATACATGTCGCAAGATGTGAGGCAGGGGCCTCGTTGAATGAGTACTATAGTCGGACAATGTGGTACAAGCATGAGTACAAAGAACCGGCCCGGCAGCCCTTCCCTTGTTTTCTCTCAGATCCTCTCAGACTTTTCCGCATCTTCATTCTATTCAACAATCAGTTGGAGGCCATTGCTAGCAGGTTGGAGGCCATCGTGAGTAGGTTGGAGGCCGTCGCTAGTAGGTTGGAGGCCATCGTGAGTAGAGTGGAGGCCATCGCTAGTAGGTTCAGATCCTCTCAGACTTTTTCCCTATTTGCACATCATTGCACATCTATTCCAAATTCAGTCGTTTGTTGCAAATGTATGCAAACCGATAGTGCTGCACCGGACGCAAGCTCCTGGGAGGTTGACTTCACGAACATCTTTCTGGATGACCCAAGCTCCTGGGTCCCATGGGACCCTTCCAGACCCTTGGCATCGGCAGATCTCGTGGGGATCACCTGCCCAGCAGTGGCACTGTCAGGAAATGCACCTGCCCAGCTGTGGCAAGGACTTGTGTAACTTGTGTTATTCAATGTTGTTCAGGCATTGCCCGTGGTCAGAAAGATTCAATGCCACGTTCTGACTCTGGCAGGAAATTATGGCGATGCCGCCTCTTTGTCTTGCGAAACAACTTTCGACATACTCTTTGATTGGTTTGAAGCTTAGTTCCACAGAGGTTGCCACTGATGAGTTCCCTCAGATCTGAGCTTTACTCCGTCCTTGCCACACAACCTCTCACATTTAGTACCGTGTAGTACTTCAGCTGGCAGCCTATCTGACAGAATGATAATGCGGCATTTGGGATATCATTCAATTGATGCATTCGAAGCGAGTTTCTTATGCACTGAGGATGGAATTAAAACGTTCCATGTCGCTTTGGATAAGAGCTTCATTGCCTGGAGCTTAGCGGAGCGGAGCTTAGCTCCTTTCCAGTTGCAATTGGAACGACTTTGTCTTCTCGACTTCATCTCGCGAAGATTCTTGTCGGTTTCGCATGATGGAGTCACTCATGAGTCGAGGTTTAGAAAGGAGACCGTTCCGCAGATCCACTGGGAGCCTCAATTCGAAGGGCTGTCAGAGAGAATGAGGGGATTCATTTGATAACTTTGGGACTGAGGGTCAGCAGAGAACGTTTGATGTTTTAACATCGACCGAAACACTCCTCAAGCACAACATCGTCCATAAGCACTCGGCACATGGTTCCAGGCCACGTAGAGTATGAAGACTTCTTGTGGGAGAACGCAACTATGCACAATCAAAGGTCCAGTAGACAGCCATAGCCTCGCTATTAGGTTGGAGGCCGTCGCTAGTAGTGTGGAGGCCAGTTTCCTGTAGCTACTGTAGCGTTTTGATTGGCCGCTGAATGCACAAACCCCCAGCGGGCATCAGGTTTGCATTTCCGTTTGAAGGGATTGTCAGGTTGCTGTACAAGGTTTTGGTGAGTTGCCGGAGCTGTTTTTTTTGGGGGTGGTTTTTGGCGGTTCTTGGTTAGCAGAGACAGAGGTGACAATGATGCGTTTAAGGGATCTTTTGCATTCACGCACGACTTAACATAGTTTTTGTGAACAGCTTCAGGGCAACCCTTAATTTCGGTTGATGTGAACGGGCTAAGTCACCGCCGCAATAGACAAAGCGGGGCTTGTCTGTCGTTTTGGATCAAGTTTTGAAGAGAGCATTGATTCGCTGGCGGCTCGCAGCGGGGCCACTTGGCATTGAAATTTCTTGGCTGTGCCCCAACTCCATCATGTTTTCTGGCACGTTCTTGTTGGCACCTGCGGGTGCGCGTTTGTCCGGGCATCGATTGTTTCAAGCCAGCAGTGGTCACGGAGTCCTTCTCTGTGAAGGCCATCGCTAGTAGGTTGGCGGCCATGGCTAGTAAGTTGGAGGTCATCGCTATTAGGTTGGCGGCCATCGCTAGTAGGTGGAGGCCATCGCTAGTAGGTGGAGGCCATCGCTAGTAGGGTGGAGACCATCGCTGTTAGGGTGGAGACCATCGCTAGTAGGTTGCAGGCCATC